AGTTCCTTTCTTATTCTGATCACAACCTTTCTTATCATAATCTTTCTTATTCTAATTTGTTTAATAGAATATCTAGATCAAAAGAAGGATTCAAGTTTCAACTTAATATTCATTGCTTGAAGCTTGCTTCAGGTGAGATACTCAAATTTGAATTTAGAGTTAAATGTGAATATTTCGGCTGAATCGCGATTGGAAATGTAATGTTGCATTGTATGTGTAATTCAAAGAAAATTCAAGTATAACTCTAAATTCACATCTGAGTATCTCACGTGGGACAAGTTTCAAGTAATGACTATTAATACGGACTTTAGGCGCGTATTCATAGTCACTACTTGAAGCTTGTTTCAAGTAAGATACTCAAATTTAAGTTTTTCTCCCTTGAAACGAGTTCCTTTCTTATTCTGATCATAATCTTTCTTATTCTAATTTGTTTAATAGAATATCTAGATCAAAAGAAGAATCCAAGTTTCAATTTACGACTTTCAAGCAATTAGTTACTTTTGTCGAACTTGTCCATTGGATATCTAAATCATGTATAACTCAGAAAAATGTGCAACTCTAATTCCAATACATTACGTACATTTGTCACCAACAGACAGCATTTGTTGCTAACGGACACTCTCTCTTGAAATTGTACCGGGAATACTATCGACGCGACACTACAGAAGAATAAAATGAAAATCGATTCTCATATTCCGAAGGCAGCTGTTGCGGTGAATGTGCAGTAAGCAGCGTGCATGAGCATTTATGATACTTCGTGGGGCACTTCGCGATGCAGTATATCGATACGCAATGCGGAAGGCCCGAGGTGGCTATGGATTACGATAAGAGATGTAATCATCATGGATCTCCTATGCTCTCGCCTTGTTCGAGAATCAAGCGGAAATAGATGGAACGTCATTGCTTGTCGTTTAAGTTCAAGCGAGCTTCGTTTTAACTTATCGACAATGTTCGAATTAAAACAGAGAAATTGAACGTATCTAAACGTCCATGTATGCGTCAGTTCTCCGGGGAAAAGGTTAACAGGACTTCAATTCAGATTCAGCTGCAAATGTTGAAGTGTAAAGAGCAAAGGACGCGTCGACTACCCGCGGCGTGTTTGTTACAGCGCAAGTTGCGTGTAAATTTCATAAAGTGACACGCCTCATTCACTGTCGATTCGCCTCGCTCTCCGTCGATTCCATTCCAAATAGCACAGTGGCGTACACCCTAAAATCGGTAACACAGGCCCACAATTTAAAAAAAGTTGTCTGTGCTGAGGGTCTGACTAGATATACTAAACATATTTTGGGCTGCTGAATCTAAATCCGGTGTCAGATTTGCTCCATCACCTTTGAGTTTCCCGGAAAATCGAGGAAATCGTGAAAAGGAGCAGATATCCATGTTTTTACGGAGACATGTATTCAAGGAAAATTCTAGAGTGACGAATAACCCTATAACCCCACAACCAACGTTGAAAATACATTATGTACTTCATAATAGTCATCTGATGACTAGAACAACTCAATAACCCATATATCATCATACATATTCGGTTTTAGTTCACTTATCAATCCTTTAACATCGCATAGATTAGAAAATCTAATCTGTGCGTGCCCTATCATGGTCACATTCATGTTATTGTCCACGAGATGGAATCTTTTTTCTATTCGAAATATCAATTCTACAATATATGATCGTCGATCAGATAAATCCTGCTGCTTCAGAGGATGTTGGAGACGATGACAACTGCCCCGTAGGGAATGTGTAGAATGATTCGTTTTCCACGTTGAAGTACATAATGTATTTTCAACGTTGGTTGTGGGATTATGGGGTTATTTGTCACTCTAGAATTTTTCTTGAATACATGTCTCCGTAAAAACCTGGATATCTGATCCTTTTCACGATTTCCTCGATTTTCCGGGAAACTCAAGGATAATGGAGCAAACCGGATTTGGATTCAGCAGCCCAAAATACGTATAGTACACCTAGTCAGACCCTCAGCACAGACAACTTTTTTTATTAAACTTATTTAAATTTATTTAAATTTATTTAAATTTATTTAAATTGTGGGCCTGTGTAATCGATGAAATCACATCTGCGTTAATTAATAGGATAACACAAGATGCGACAAACGACACACACACCGGTCTTCCGATCAATTTTTCAGCGTGATATTTCAAACCGTTCGTTTGAAATGGATTTCACTATTAATTGGATTATCACGACCAGCGGAGAATCGCGGTGTCAAATGTGTCGGTTCCTGTTTCGAGGCCAAATTAAAATGCTCGTCTCTACACGTGCTTACTATTTATCATCGAAGAGAGGATAAATATTATAGTTTCTTTTCATAGAAATTCTCTTTTCAGTTTTTTGCTGTGTCTTCAGTATCGCAGAAATAGACCCTCAGTAAGATCTATTTTGCTAAGGAAACCATGCTAAGAAGATTCCATGCTAAGAAGATGCTAAATTTCTAAATAGTCCAGGGTTTCTCTTCGTGAAAAATGTAAATTACGGCACGTATAATCAGAGAAAAAACTAGAATTATATAACGTTTCACACGAAAACACTCCACTCGTATTTGGCTTAACAAGCTTGGCGTCACGAGTGTACGATTAGAAATATAAAGTTCTCGAGATCAGGGTCGCGGCAAGATAAATAATAAATGGAGAAAATAAATATACATAATAAATATAATAAATGTAATAAACGTAATAAATATACATCATATAATTTTCTGAAATTATAAAAATACTCAAAACATATTTCATCCTTAGTGAAATGCTTTTATATATCGGCCCGAAGAGAATACTTCTAAAATCAAAAGGAAAATATTCTATCGCCCAAAAAAGAAAAAAAATCTAATTATAAAGTGCTACTTTATAAGAGTTTTGAAGAAGGTATTTGTTGTCATACCTCTCTGTAATTCCATATTCTAAGTGAAAACTTTTAAAGAGTTTTAAACTGAAAGAATACTATTTTTCTTCACCGAGCGAAAACATATCTAAAAAATAGTAAATATTTTACTCGTGGTATATATATATATATATATATATATATATATATATATATATATATATATATATATATATATATATATATATATATATATATATATATATATATATATATATATATATATATATATATATATATATATATATATAAAAATATATTTATTTTTATATTAATATAAAATATTTATCAAATAGGAAAATATACATATTTTCTTAAGATTTTTACGAAAACATGATATTTTTTTTAATCTGGTAACAACGCAGATCGGAGAAAAATTGTTCCAGGAAATTGGGCAGTATTCTTAGGAAAGTCTGTATTTCTACTACCCAACTACTTTAGGGGTTGTTCTACGGTCTAGGTTGGACCGGCACACCTTGTGCTGGTCGATATGACGATCGTAAATCAGAAACGAGTTAACCAAGACTCGTCGGCCAACGAGTTCTCTTTTTGCTTGCCGGCTCGAGACTTAATGCAACACTCAGTCACGGAGAAGTACGTGAGACGCGCGAGAATACCAAAACAATCGACAAAAACGACGAAGCCAGACTCGCCATTGAAAGGGCGAGAGCTATGACAACAAACACATTCTTCATCTCGACGCTCAAGCCGGTCAAATAGTAATTCTCGCGCGGAAAATTCTTATACTCGATTTATCATAGGGAATACAGACTGTCGCGAGTGCAGGTCACGACGTGGGAGATCATAAAGGTTAAATTCTACGTAAAATGCGACGTATCTAATTTGACGCTGAGCGTCGTGGAAACTTACTTGACGAAGAAATCGTTGTTTGACTTTACCTTCTCTGAAATTCACGCTTCTACATCAACGTACGTTATTTGCTATCTGCAAACACGTGGGAGTTTTTGCAGTAGCAACGGAGATAGTTTACTCGCTCTACCGAGCAAGCAAGTTCCTGTCCACCGAAATTATCTGGATTCTTCAGGCTGGAACGAGGTAGCTCGAAGAAACGAGGACGAAGTATGACTGCGAGTAATAAAAGGATCCCGATTGTTACTGTAGGAAAATATTTTTCTCGCGCAAACTATGTTTACCGACATCTGACGGGAAAACGCAATGGCAAAATCGCCATACACGGGCTCTGATTTTTCGTAATACTTTAAGTGCGACCGAAGCTCATTTCTTTGGAAAAGTTTCTTTCAAACGAAATCAACTATTTTATATTCATGCTTATATATTCTTTTTTAATTGTAAAATTAAAATTAATTAATTTACACATAAGTTCATACATATGTAGCAAAGAATTTAAATATTTAAACACCTTACATGCAAATATTCCTTCTGGAAAAAAATTTCCAGAAAAATATAATCTCATCCTTAGACGCCTTTTCTCTTGTATAATACAATATTATTCCTCTTTATTACGTTAAGAAAAAAAAAATCTAAAAAATAAATATTTATTTGGTGGAGGTACGAATAACATGTTTACTTAAATGTAATTTTTTTACTTAAATAGAATAAATAATTGCTTTCATGAAATGCTAAAGTTTTTTCTAAAAATCTTAAGAAAATATGTATATTTTCCTATTTGATAAATATTTTATATTAATATAAAAATAAATATATTATTATTGTATTATATATATATATATATATATATATATATATATATATATATATATACCACGAATAAAATATTTACT